GAGGGCTAAGGGCCTGTGTGAGCAAGTGTCAGCAATATTCACACTGAAACAATGAAAGATGGAAGGAGCTTCTCCCGCCGGCACCACTTCCCAGAGAGGGTCACAGCGGCACGCGCCCCTCCAGCACGCTCTTCTGGTGACAATGACGCCCTTCCACGGAGAGGTGGGTCTACGGCCCTGCCTTGGACCTGGGGAGACCCGGACCAATGGAATGTGGTAGAAGCTCCACTGAATGACTTGTGAGGCCAGGTCCTAAAAGGTGATATAGCGTCCACCTGGCTCCCTGGGGACGGCACCTTTGTAGCCCTGAGCGGCCATGGAAGAAGCCTGGCTGCCGGAAGCCACCGTGCTGGAGACCCACCTGAAGAACCACGGGGGGAGGGGGAGGGGGTGACGGGGGATGCCCAGGAGCTGGCAGGCGAGATGAAGAAGCTTCCAGATGACCCTAGCTCGGCCTGCGACCTCATGAGAGACTCGAGCAGACTGTCCAGCTGAGCTGCTCACAAATTCCTGATCTACAGAAACCCTGAGAGATAATAAATGGTTATTTTGGTTTTAAGTCACTAAGTTTTGGAGTCATTTGTTGGCAGCCACAGTAACAGGAAGCTGGTGAAGGGGGGGCGGTAAGTGTGAGGGTGGGTAGACAATAGTGCTTTGAACAAGAGAACACAGCATATGCCAAGGCCCTGGGGTCAGAAGGGGTGCTGAAATGAAGGTGCAGAGGTCGGCAGGCCATCTCCCAGGCTTTCTAGAATTCTTCTGTTCATCTGATCTACATTTCTTCTGTGGATGGGTCCTTCTGTTTCTTCTTTTATACAGAGAGACCCTAGTGTAATTTTAGGACCGGTGTCTATTTAAGTCTATGCAGGGAAGGAACTTACATTACATTCATTCATTCTTTCCATCAAGAGGAGTAAATGCATTACCTGTGCTGGTAGCTTCCCATCATCATCTTGACGTCCCACGAGGAGGTTTAATGCTCTCGGTTTAGTGCACAGTGAGGAGACAGAGAATGAGGGGGCTGCTGT